AGCAGGATGCCTTGCAGGGTCCCAAAGACTCATTTCTAGCAGAGTTTGGGGGAGAGAAAGAAAGACTTTTCCTGCTTTCCTTGCATGCAGCCAAAAGCAGAAGAAGAAAGAAGTGGAAAGAAGCAGCCCGGTGGCCAGGCGAGGCCCGTGGGGCGAGTGGGGCAAGTTTTCCCCTCCACCCTTTCCCCCCTCCCCTTACTACCTCATGTTGTTCACAATGCAAGCAACGCAAGCCTTGTGTTCCCGCGCAGCCTGGATTAATTGCTTTTGAGGGGGTGCTTTTGGGGTGACATTTCTCTGTAGACCACCAAAATTTTCTCATGGACCACCAGTGGTCCCCGGCTCACTGGTTGGCGACCACTGGACTAGGGTATGCACTAGTGGTGGGATTCAAATTTTTTACTACTGGTTCTGTGGGCGTGGCTTGATGGGTGTGGCAGGGAAAGGATATTGTAAAATCTCTAGTCAGAGGTGGTGTTTGCTGGTTCTCTGAACTACTCAAAATTTCCGCTACTGGTTCTCCAGAACTGGTCAGAACCTGTTGAATACCACCTCTGGTATGTACACAGGGAGGTGCCAAGCAAGAGACTAGTAAGGTATCTTATTCCTTGGGCTGAAATCTGCTTAACTGATGCTAGAAGTAATTTTGTGTTTGATTTACTTGAAAAATTAGATTTATGCTACAGTGTACATACAGGAAAAAAGTGGAGTGAACTACTAGTGTTTATTTATTCACTTCCTTATTAATTTTAATACTATCTAATAGCTGCAATTATTTTGCAGATGTGCCTCTTTCAAAGTCTAGATTAGAGCATAGTTTTAAAAGGCCAGAAATCCACCTCAAAGTAAAACGGTTAAAGAATAAGCAGAACATAATACAACAGAAGTGCAACAATCTTTTTTAAGAACTGAAGGGATTTCACCTTTAGCCACTCTAACATGAATCAAGGGATTTTATAGCTCAGTGTATCATTAATACTTTAATATTTAAGTTATGGGGATCACTGTAATAATGAAGTTTTGTTTATTAACTTGATCATTTGGGGTGAACAGGGGAGAAGACTGTGCAATATAAATTAGGGCTGTACAGTACATAGATCAAGATTCAAAGGACAAAATGTGATTTGGATGTTCATAAATATGAACGTTAGGAGCTCTCATGAGCACATTATACCCACTTTGTCTTTTCTGGAGACTATGCATCAGATGCAGAAGACAGATACGTGAGCCCAGGGGGTGGGGGGAGGAAATGCAACATTTTTTAAATGTCCATTGTTCTTGAGAGAGACTGTATACTGTTAGAGTCAAGATGGCGGCCACAGTTGCATAATTGAAGTTCTGTTCCTTTTCCACATGTGTTGTACATACAATGTGTATAAAAGGTAAATAAGGAAAAGAATAGGTTATACAAAGAAGGGAATTACGGTAAAATCTTGGGGAGAAAGGTTTGATTAGAATATATAACTGCCAAGAGGAAGATGGGAAGATGAGATGAGATGATGAGAGAGAGAGAGAGAGAGAGAGAGAGAGAGAGAGAGAGAGAGAGAG